ATGAATATCTCAGGATGGCTGGCTGAGTGAAAAATAGGGAGTTTTTTACCCTTTCCTGTGGAAGCACTGCTAAAAACCCCTGAATAGTCCAATTTAAAGCATGCACATGTGAGGGAGGAAGTGAGGGGACGGAGGTTAGTGATGCTGTTTTGTGTATCCGCACGGTCGTAGGGACTGCTCACCCCAGACAGGGGCAGCCAGGAAGCTGGGAACTGGCCCATCACTGTGGGGTTATGTGAGCGAGTTTGGAAATCCTCAGAAATTGAATTCAGGGAAGACGACTGTCCCCATGAGAAACTGAATTTAGGGAGGATGATTGTCCCCATCAGAAAGCTGCTGGCCGGGTTGCGGGGCTGCTGCTCCCCTCAGTTTGCAGCAATGATGGGGGGCAGGAGGGGCGTCCATTCGTCCGTCCGACCTCCAGGGTGCCCCTGGGTGCCTAACGTACGCTCTGCTTTATCCCCGACCGCTCAGATCCCAAGGCTGCTCCTACGGATGTTAGGATAAGAGTTTTAAACAGCACTGCCATTGCTCTGACCTGGACCCGGGTGCACCTCGACACCATCCAGGGACAGCTCAAGGAGTACAGAGTGAGAAATCCGACCTCTTCTGCACTGACCATTAATTAATGATATTAATATTAACCTGCTCACAAGCTGAGGTGGCCCCCGTGACAGAGCCGCCTGCGATGGGGATGACAGAAAACTCTCCTCTGCCACCAGGACCCTTTGGCCAGGGTTGGGTGCAGACCATGGGGTCCTTCCCGGTGCCCGCCTGCAGGATCTGGGGTGCTCAGGCACCCCAAAAGGGACTGGGGTGGTGCTGCCCATGTAGAGAGGTGTCAAAGCTCCAGATCTGCCCCAAACCACGGGCTGGCTGGCTCGGGGTGCAGTGACCTCGGAGAGGTACAAACAGGCTGGTTTTTGTGTCATCCCCAAAATTCCTACATCGTCTTTTAATGAACACCAAGCCCAGCAAAGCCTAAACCCCGCGGTTCATACTAACTGGCAACTAAAGGCAGCATGGATCCTGTTGTGTGTTGTTTGGGGTTTTTTTTTTGTTTAATGTTGAATATTTACTGCTAAAGTAACTACTGGTGTTTATGGACAGGGGACAGACCCTGTTCAGTCTGGACTGAGCCCCTTCTATCAGAGTTACCAAAACCATGCGTCCTGCAAACAGTCACAGCATTTCAAATCCAATAATCCCTGGGTACTCCTTTCATGCTTTCTGCCTCTGCTGTTTCATTCTGGTCTATTTTCTGAATGCATCTTATTTCTGCATGAAATAAGATTTGCAGTCACGGCTTCGAATGGAAGCCTTTCAAAATTCAGACTTCCCTTTGTGCCTGGGCACGTCCTGCCTTTCCTTGCACCCCGTTAGGGCACTGCTCCAGGTAGAAAGGGAGCCAGGACCAGCTCTTTGGAGTCTGAGCTCGGTGGTTTTTTTTGCTCTGTGACCTTGGGTAAATGCTTAACCCCACGCTCAGCCCCTTCCTCGGGTTAACACCACTGACCTGCCTCGCTGGGGGACGTGGAGCTTCATTAATTGCTCTAAAATCCTTCTGCAGCCCAGAGCTGCTCTTTGGAAACGCCGAGTTTTGCTGTGCTTTGTTAATGAACGAAAAATGTGCACTTAAATGGGAAAAGCTTCACTTGCCATGCATGTTTCTTGAAGGCCTATTTCTGGAGAGACAGTAGTTTGCTGAAGAACCTGTGGGTCTCCAAAAAACGGCAGTATGTGAGTTTTCCTGGAGACCGAAACCGGGGCATAGTGTCCCGGCTGTTTCCTTACAGCAACTACAAACTTGAGATGGTTGTAACCAACGGGAGAGGCGACGGCCCCCGCAGTGAAGTTAAGGAGTTCCCCACGCCCGAAGGAGGTACGTTCCCCGTGCTGGTACCCATCCCTGGGTGCTGGGAGAGGTTTGGGTGGCTCAGCTCTGCAGAGCAGGGATGTGCACCAGGGGCCGTTTGTAGCTGAGCCTGGGCAGCATCACCATCACCATCACCACGGGGTAGGTGACACCTCCACAGCTACACCCCAGTCTTGTCAGTCTCAAAATGCCCTCCAGGTGCATTGCAAGTATCGCTTATGAACAAGAGAAATGTTTGCAAAGCGCCTCAGCCCCGTGCCCTTCGTTTGCTGCCCGACCTGCAAATGGCACCAGACCCCCCTGCACCAGGGAAACGGGAGCGAACGAATTCACCGTGCTCAGGAAAAGGCAGTGCCATCTCCATAGACCCCAGTACCCAGTGCTGAACGGGTGTCACCACTGCCCGTCAGGCTTTTAAGGCAGGAGCGCCTCGTTCCTCTGTTTCAAGAGCTTGTGTCAAGGATGAACTGGAGATTTTCATTTTCTTGCTGTCGCAGGAGCTATTTATAGACACGCCAATAACTTTTAGTTGGAGCTGCACTTTCAGCGGCTGCCAATGCATCCTCCTATAGCACAGATGTTTCTGGCACTGAATGGTACACGAACACAAGAGGAGAAAGCGGTGAAGGCTGGAATCAAACCCTATCTCAACCAACACAAAATGCTGTGGGGCTTTCCTCTTTCTTCAGCCTATTCCTGCTAAAAAAACGGCATCTCCCAGTCCTCTCTCTTTCTTCCTTAACATTTCCTTGGATGCTGTCACCATTTCCTAAGGATTTTTCCATTATCAGCCACAATTAAGCTTGTTCAAAAAAAAAAGAAAGGCCTCTGTTCCAGTAAGGGTGGTTTTGCAATCAGGTGCATTTGGATTGAGCTGCTTACCTGGGTGCCAGAGGCACAGAGTATTTGGGATAACTACATGCATTTGGGGTAGTTATACGCATACATGCCTGGCACTGATTTAAACAATCACAGCAGATTATATTCTTACCGTAAGTAGCTGCTTTATTCCTTTCCTATATTATTTAAATGATTTTTTTATTGGCTATATATTGATGTTTAGGAGACTGAATGATATGTACCTGTTTAAAAAAATACATCACTAATCCCTCAGATCAAAAAGCCAAGTTCTTTCCCCAGCCAAGACACCGCAATTTTGAGGAAACCAGGAGAATAATTTAATCCAAGAATGTGTAAAGCTTTCCTTCCTTTACTAGCTTTGAATAAGCAGCCATTCCTCAGGGTAAGGACCACTGTATTTGCACACCAGCTCCCTGTCACAGGTCTCTAGGCATTAATAACACAAAGGTGCTTTGCAATCGGAGGAGCTGCTCTGCTATTTCTCACCCTTCCAACAGATGAGATGTAAATGTCAGGGTGGGGGGGCGTAAATAAGACCAGTAAATTCTGTGTACAACATAGAGAAGTGGGACTTGAAGTGTGTCCCAGCTCTGCTTCACGGCTGCAGCATCTTTTTTGGGTGCCGGAGGGCAGTGGTACCCGGTGGGGTTGCATGCGGAGCTGCTCTGGTTTCTGCTCCCTGCACACACGCTGCTGCTGCAAACCCTGGGCTGGCGCATGGTTTCTGCACAGATTCTCGTTCAATCATTTTCTGCCCTTCGTTTTCTTTGTGTGTGTGTGTTATCTGCGTGAGTGTATTTATGAGTGTCCTGAGTGTATCAGTCAGCCTGCGATGTGTACAGTATTGTAAGGTATGTTATCTTGTCTGTCTTTTCTTCTCTCCCTCTCCTCCCTGCTCCCATCCTCCTCCCAAGTGCCCAGCTCCCCCAGGTATTTAAGAATCCGGCAGCCAAATCTGGAAAGCATCAATCTGGAGTGGGATCAACCAGAGCATCCCAATGGAGTCCTCACAGGATACAACCTTAGATACCAAGCCTGTACGTTCCACATGTTATCTTCTTAGCGATAATAATTAAGCCTTTAGATGTTTCCCTTGCTGCTAATTACCTCCTCACCTAGCACAGAAAGTTCTCTGTAAGGAACCGGAGGCTTTCATCACAAGCTGAGAGGCACTGGCGTTTGCTGAGGGGTCCTGGAGCAGTGCTGGGCAGCTGCAGTCCCCCCTGGAGGGAGGTGGGTGCTGAGCAGATCTCCAGACTCAGCCATGGAAGGGAAATGAGTTTGATCTCTGATTTAGAAAGACCTTTAAGCGCAGTCTGAGTAGTTTATGTGCTCAAACACAAGCTCCTGGCTGTATAAGAGATGCTGGGGCTGCACAGCCTTCTCCAAGACCCTGGCACTGGCGCTGCGCCTTTCCTTGATCACCTCTACAACCCCGAATGTCCCCACTAGCAGGTCCCACAGCCACTGAAGTCCCCAGCTGCCCTAGATGAGCTGTATTTACCAGCAGCCATAGCTCTGACCCACAGCAGGTCCGGTCCTGGGGCGAGGTGACGAGGTAGGGAGCACCATGTGTTACTGCAGCAAGGCTGAAGCCCCCACGACCTGCCTTTCCTTCCCAGTTAACGGATCCAAAACGGGCCGAACCATGGTAGAGAACTTCTCCCCCAACCAGACAAGGTTCACCCTGCAGAGGACAGACCCCATCTCCCGCTACCGCTTCTTCCTGCGCGCCCGGACCCAGGTGGGAGAAGGAGAAACCCTGGTGGAGGAGTCGCCAGCCTTGCTGAATGAAGGTACACGCAGCAGCACCAGCCTCGGGCTTTGCTGAGGGGTTGGGGGGCGATGGGACCGTGTGGCACCCAAAAACTGCAGGGCAGAGCATCAGGTGGTCCAGAGCAACCAGTACAGGGTAGTAACTGGTGTATAAGCTACTGTCTGCTGCAGGGATAGAGAGAGATGACTGACCAGGACCCAATATGAGGTGACTGGGGGGGCTGTCCTGTGCTCTGGGCACCCCCCCAAGCAATTGAGGCTCCTCATGTGCCCCTGGAGCAGGAGGGCATCTTGCCCTGCTCTCACAGTGAGTAAAGCTCTAATCTACCCCTGTGTTGAGCTGAATACGGGGCAGATGTGGGTGATTTTTCGGGGCTCGAAGGGGGTGGGTGCAGCAGCTGCATCCTCCTGGCAGTGACCCCCAGGCAGGGGCTGTGGTGCTGCCTCCGTCACCCCATAACCAGCAGCTGACCCGCCCCAGCTCCTGGGTTCCTAATACCATAAAATGCCCATTGTGGGACATCCATCAAACCAAGTGAAAGTTCAGGAGCCCTGAGGGAACTCATGGAGACAAAAAGCTGACTCTTTGCTTTCTTTAGCATTTGCTAAAAGACCGGTGATTTGGTTAGTGCGCTGATTTAATGGGGTTTTTGTCTCCTTTCCGCCATCTCCCCCTCCCCAGCTAATGGCTCTGAGTAGGAAAAGCAATTCCTACTGATGACCCAGTGGAAATGAAATGCTTCCCGACACCTCTTAGGTGGGCTCCAGCATCGCTAATTGACTTGTCAGGATGGGAGATGGGGCTGCATAGGCTACGGGGAAAAAAAAATCAGCTACATTACACCCTGGCACGGCATTGCTTTAAAAAGGAGCTGTGCTGAACAAACTGATAAAGCACAGGGATCTAAGTTGTTGGTGCTGGTACTGAATAGTTCTTATTTATTTAATTCTTATATTATATTCTTATAATAGTTCATATATATTTGCTTTACTGAGTTTGTGTATGCTGCTAACAGCAACTGTTAAGAAAGCAAATCCAAGCAATAGCCATACCCAGCTGTCTATGAGTGACTTGTGATAGGAAATAGCAGTTCCAGCGTACGCCAGCGTGACGAGGTAAGGGTCCCTGTCCATGGGGAAAGCAGCGAGAAAAAACTAGAGTCAAATCCCAGTCTAAAGTTACAGAAATACGGTAAAGTCTGACCTCAAAACATGAGACCCTGAGGTACAACACGACCGAGGTGAGTTCTAATGCCAGGCATGTAAGTACAATTAGCAGCTCCAAATGCCCACTTCGATACCTGGTACCTGCTCTGAAACTACATGAAAAATGAGTTTTAAAAGCAGATTAAGAAAATGAAACCCGTTAATGCATTCGGAAGTTGTTTTCTGCTCGCCAGACTCATTCACATGAGAATTTCCATAAAACACATCTCCGATGCTCTGCGCCAAGGGCTCCAACCCACACAAGGCGGGACAAGCACTGATGTTAGAATTACACTAGAAAAAAAAAAACCTAAATGGAAATCCAGTGTCAAAACCCCGGTCCTTGCTGGGATTAGATATCAGCACCTGCTTAAGCACTTTGCTTAATTGGCATCACCGGGAAGGTGATGGGCTGTTCCTAATGCAATGATTCCCTCTCTCTCGAGTCTCTGGTGCCTGTGTGCAAGCGGTCCCGAGTCTCTCGTTGGTGTCTTCTGGTTGTTTTATACGTTCCTCTGTTTTCTCTTCCCTTCTCTCCTACGCTCTCCTCGTACCCCCCTCTCTATCCCCGGCGCTGCCCTCTGAAGCCACGCCAACCCCAGGTACCGTACGGCCGGGAGGTAACGGGCACGGGGAAGGCTCCATCGGCGCTTGCGTGTGCTAGCAATTAAGCATGACCTCATTAACCCTTTCAATGGGAAGGAGAAGGGGCAAGGGTCTAAATTTGGCATATAAAATTAAAAAATTAATATTAAATATCTCAGAGCAGGGGCTTAACAGCCTCGAGGATGCCCAGTGACAGCCAAACCCACACAATGCTGCAGCTCCCGTAAACTATGAGCAAAAATGAGAGCCCAGTTGTCCCATTAAAGAAGTTTTTTCATCCCAGGTCTCTCCCTTTTTAAACCTCAGCATCCTTGCCCTGCACACAGAGTCTACCAGCCCTCTCCAGCCCAGCCTTTAAGCTGCATTTTCACACCCGGGACTCTGCGCTGTTGCAGCTGGAGCTTCCCTCAGCCACGCAGCTCTGTGTCGCAGCGTTATGGGCACCACAAACCCCACACCTTTGTTATTATTTCCCCCCATTATTTTAGGGCTGCCAGGGCTTTCGTACAGGAGCATCCTTTGGTTTCCAGGCGCCCATTGAAAGGGTTAAGGACGACGTCTGCGCCATGGCTGTGCATGTCTGCATGCGAGGCTACTGCTGGCTTTGCCCTCGATTGCGAATTTCTGCGGCAGTGTTGAAGCAGAGAAAAAAAAAAACCCTTTTCTTGTAACGGGAGAGGGAGCATCTCTACCTGCTTTCAAGGAAACCCAAATCCCTGGTTACCCAGTGTCAGCCCTGCAGAGTCCACAGCAAAAGCACAACTTCTGGCTGCCCAAAGAAGGACGCCCGCCTCTTACAAGAGCTGCAGATATGACCTTATTTCAACCCCACAATATCTCAGCAGCGGGGCCAGCTCCATTACCAAGCTCCGAGGGGGCTGGGGGCAGTGCTGGGGGGGGCGCAGCCGGCCCAAAACGCACCCCGAGTGCTGCGGGAGCTGCCCCAGGGCTGTGTAAGAGGTGGTGCTGTGCCTTTGCTGGACACGGCCCTGGGGTCCCCGGGGAGGAGCAGGCCCCAGGGGAAGGCTCTTCCCAAGCGATGCAAGTGCAGGACCCACTCTCTGCACCCGTAGGTTTTGCTTCCCTACCTCGTAGATGTTTCTCCTCCTTTTATTTTGTTGCAGTGATGTCCCAGTATTATTTTGCGGGCTTTTTTTTTTCCCTTTCTGAGTAGACGCCGATCTTTTCCTTACTATATTTTTCCTCTTCCTTAAAAAAGAAAAGAAATAAAAGGTGGTAACAGATTGGTCTGCTTTGGGTGGTGGGAAGCTGAGAACAGACATAACAACATAATCTTTTAGCTTAGAGGATCTCTATCGTCTCTTTTGCTGCTATAACTCGTACCTCAGCCAGGCTTATCCACAAGAATCTGGATGTTCTAAAGCACTTTGCTACCTGCAGCGGATATTGCTGAAGGCTGAAAAACACAACGCGATCTCTTTATCCTTCCATCACTTCAGGCATTATTTCTCACACCACTGGCAGCTAGATGAATTACTTGCCATTTAAAGGATAATTGTAGAGGAACAGAGAGAAATCGAGGCAGGATCCAGCGCCCATCTCTGTCCTGTTACCCAGTTCCAGCAGTTTTTGTTCCAGGCTGTTTCCCTTCCTAACAAGTGCAGGGTTCGAGTGAAAACCTGCTTGGCCTTTCTCAGAAGATCCATCTCCACTCACTGACCTAGATTTTGTAGATTTTTCTAAATGGATTTACAGCAAAAGTTGTCTTAAATTGCTGCAAACTGCTCTTTGTCATGAGCTGTGGCTCTGAAAATAAAAAGGTTTGGGGTTTTTTTTCCAGGGATAACCTTACATACACAGGGTCGGAGCTGTTTGTATGTGTGTGAGAAACTGCACCCATTTGATGAAATCAAAGTGAAGCGCAGGGACTTTCCCTTAGGAAAGGCTTTACTTTTCCTAAGCCAGACAGGGACAAAGGGAGGAGTGATCTGGGAAAAGAGAGGATGTCTAAAAAGGGCTCTCGTTTATGCTATGCATGAGAAAAAAAGTCAAAACCAGATCCCATACAATCCATGTGTATGGAGGAACTTCCACCAGGGATGTAAAGAGCTTTGGCCTTGGACTGTAAGGAAGAAAACATGGATTTTTCTCTGTTCCCTTCTTGTCTGTCCATAATGATGAATGGGAGGAGAAAGATGCCATTGTCCGTGTTAGAAACGGGCAGCAGCAGAAACAGAGAGAGCTGCTGACCCCTCTGCCCCTTCAGAGGCTGCTCAATCGCTCCTTTCTGTTCCCGAACTTCTTACAGCAAACTTTATGGTAAACACTTCACCATTTCCTTCTATTGCTAAAAACTGGGAGAGGGCGAGAAGGAAGAAAATAAAACCCACATCTGGAAACGTATTTGGCTAATCATGAAAAATCATGAAAGATTAATCAAATTTCTCCGAGCCTAATTATTTTGTAGACAAACCCAAGGGAAAGCTACAGCCTAACAACACATTAAGAGCGCCTTTAAATAATTAAAGAGCAATATGGATGTGTATTGTTTCCTGGATTTTGCAACCAAAAAAAAAAAACCCCATGCAAAACTACTCCCTGAACTGCTGCACTTCTTGGAGCAGGACTCAAGTCCCTGCCTTGAGAGCCTCCCTCTTTAAACATTCCTCATTTTCCTTTCAGGATTCTTCCTCTCTGTTGCTGATCTGAGCCTCGCACAGTTTTTGTGTAAGGTTTGGGCTCCTTTTTTTCCTGCTCCATTCCCGGCCATAGGAGCCAAGCATCTCTCTCGTTACTCAGCCTATTAATTGCTGCATCCCCCTTCCATTACAGCAGCAGGGCCCTCCCCGTCCTCTCCATTACCTGACAGGGTAATGATGCATCTTGCAGACAGCAAAAGCTGAGCCCTGTTAACGAGCGGCGCGGTCGTGTAGACATTTCCAGGAAGACGGGCAAGGGTGGGAGCAGGAGATGGGAATTGCTGCTGCTTTTACTTTGGTTTTCTTTGGTGTATTGAGATGATTTCGAGCCTGCGCCTTCAGACGTGCTGGGTCTTTTTTTAGGGTGCTGCTCTGGTCTGCAATTGGAAAAGCAGGAGCCCCTTCTCGTTTTTTTAGAAGGATGAGTGTGATTTCTAGATGGATGTGATAAAAAAAAAATGGGCAGTTTTGGAAACGCCAGCCTGGCCCTCCATAGCCTCCCTGTCCCCCCTTTTGCTGGCAGGAGCTGTGATCAATCAGTCCTTAATTTAATGAGCCCCGACAGCGTGGGCAGCAAGGGGGGGACCCCAGGTACCCCCGGGAAGGGGCACTCCCCCATGGCAGGGTGCCCTTTTTGTGGGGGGATGCGGGCGCGCTCTGATCTCTGTCAAAGAGGGCCTTCATCTCCCCCCAGCCCGAAATCAGCGCTCATTAGGGCATGGATTTCAAAGCCTAGGAAATGCCCCTTATCTTCTCCCCCCCCCAGATCGCCCAGCTGAGCTTTTCTTGCGCACACATTTCATATTCAAACACAAATGAGGGCCGAGCTTTGAGTCCCGGGGTGGCTGAGGCCTAAATCCCCTCACGCTGCGGGAGCCCCGGCCGGTCCCATCCTCCCCTCTCTCAACTATCGCTTTCCAGAGTCCTCCCATCCCACATCTCTACCTGTTCCTAGTCCTGAAAGCATCATTTTATCATAGTAGTATATAATAGCACAGTAGTGGATGGCTTCTGTTTGAACTTAATGATCTTAAAGGTCTTTTCCAACCAAATAATCCCACGATGCTATGATTTCTATCCCCAGTGCCAACACCCTCTCCTCGATCTCACACAGAGACCTAAGAGGCTCGAGTGCCGAGCTTCACCTGCATGTAACACATAAAGACAATACCCTATGTGAAGGATAGCGAAGCTTTGACCTATCCCAGATAATCTCTTCCCATCTAGGGTCTGGAGGAGCATTAAAACTGAATTACCAGTGCTGGGCGATGCAGAGCCAGAAAACAGGGGGTTATTGGAGGTTTCCCACCAGCTCCTGCATTTCAGCAACTTACTCCATGCCTTGCTGGGTCCTGTTTTCCTTCGAGGGGAGCCAGGGATCCCCAGGGGAAGCTCCGAGGCTGCATTAGCTGATAATGTGCCCACGCTTGATGGGGTCCATTGCAAACCTGTTGAGGAGCTGCAGCTCAGGCGGGTTAATGGTGACATTAACCTAGTGACACCAATCTCTTAACCTTCCGAAAACGCGCTATGAATCAGCAAAGATGGATGTTAATGCTTCTCAAGCCAAGAAAAGCTTTTTAAACTTATAGCTTCAGGGCACAGCAATGCCCTCAATCAGGAATTGGGTGAAAGAAATGCAGAACCACCCCCAAACATCCCCATTGCCCTGGTGGGGTCAGGTTGGAGAGGAATTTGCTGCGCTGTGAACACCCGAGGACAAAGCTGAGCCATTTCCCACCCAGGCTGGGTCCCTTCCCCGTCACCACCACCTCCGCTCCCCTCGCCCGTTATTTCGGTGCTTTATTTCAGTGGCTGTGCTGCTGCATGGGGCTGGCTGCGATGGAGAGGATCCGGGCACACGTTTGGGGGGGGTTTGGTGTTTTCGGGATGCGTCGGTAACCGTGGTTTTATTGCAGCTGCGCCCGGTAGGGGGATGGACTGCGACCTTCTGCTCTTCTCTGCTGTTGGATCTGGGGGGGCTGAGGTTTTATGGGGTCCGTCCTCCTTGGGGATGGACTTGGTGAAAAAGGCGAGCCCTGGTTTGGTCCTGGGACACCTTTTAAAGCACTTTCCTAGAGCTATTCTTGTTTGTGGGGGATATTTAAAACAGCCGGTCTCATTTGTCTGACTGGGGGATTTGTAATCCCTTGATCTGCTGTAAGAGCAAGTAAATGTAATGTAATGAAAGCATCGCAGGGTAAATCTCCGCTCATTTACCTTGGGGAGCTTAAGCAGCGTTTCAGCTGCATGTTCTGTTATCAGCTTTTCAGGCCCAGGCCAGTGGTGCTGCTCAGGACCCTCTCAGATTGGGGTTGGGTGTAAAGTGCACGTTTACCCCTTTCGTATGGAAATACAGCGCAGGATGGGGGCGATTTAGCAAACAAATTGCTCAGACTTTCTCCCTGGACAGCTCGGGATGTGCCAACCCTTTTTTCCTAATTTAAATGTAAATTGTGAGGGGCAGCAGTGGCAAAATACCATCCATCACTTGCTGATGAGCTGAAATCCACGTTAATGCTAAAGCTGCTCCATCACCAGAGAGGAGCCAAGAAGGAAACAGCCGAGAAGCTGAACCGAGCCCAAAAATGCTGGAGGTGTAGTTCAGGGGCTGCTGAATTAATGTAATTACAGCTTGCCCACAACAAATGGGATTATTATGGGTTTTTAAGAGATAAATCCCATTTAATGTTACAGGGAGCCCTGGGTGCTCTCTGCACAGGGGGATGATGGGGTGCAAAGAGCCTGGGGGTGCATACCCAGACCCCCTTCACGTTCCTCCTGCCGTACCCCCTCATAACTTAACCCCAGGATGGCAGAGCAAAGGCAGCAGAGGAGCAGGTCAGAAGAGGAGGAGGTCGTTCAGCCCCAGGAAAAGGATGAACCCGCGGGTGTTGGGTGCGCAGGAGCAGCTTTTCGGGGGCAGCCCCCTGCTCGCTGCCCCTCCTCACCCCGGTGCATGGCCATCCCCGCACGCTGATGGGGAAGGGAAAAGCGGCTCGGCCCCGTGTTTCCCGGTGCTGTTCTCTGCCCCCATCCCTATCCCTGTCCCTGTGCTGCGCTGCTCCGCTCTCTCTCGCGTGTCTGCGTGTCCACGTCGGGGATGGTGAGCGCAAACCCCAAGGAGACATCGCCGCATCTAAAAAGCCAGTGTTTCCCTCTCCCAGCTGCCACTGAGCTGCCTCCAACGACAGTCGAGCTAACCAGTACTACAACAACCCCAACTACCACCACCACCGACACAACTACCACAACTACCACCACTACTGACACAACTACCGACACAACTACCACCACCACCACAACTACCACCACTACCACCACCACTACAGCCGCCACCACCGTCGCAAGCACCACAGCAGCTACCGAGAGGGCTCCGGCAGCCACCACAAAGCAGGAGTTGGGTACTGCGCTTTCCTTTTCCTCTAACCCCTCTAACCCTCCCCGCATCTTGCTCAGAGCCAGGATTAATAACGGGCACAGGCAAAATTTCAGACATCCCACGCTCCGGGAATGGCTTTGCAAGGAGCTGGAGGTGACCCAGGTTCAGGAATTGGGGTGCATGAGTGGTTCCCAGCAATCTGGGGGGGCTCGGTGCCACCCTCCTGGTCTCAGTCTTAGGGATAACGCAGCCCTCCCCAGGGTGTCGTGATGCTGAATTAGCATTGGTGTTTGGGAAGGAGGCAAAAGACCCTACAAAACCTCTCAGAAGCGTTCCCTGTTATCGTATTGCCATTAAAAAGGGGTTCTGTTCCTATTATAGAAGATGTCAGCTCAAATTTAGCACATCAGCTGTTGGCTAAGAGACCTGTCACCATTTATACGAGTCTTTGGGTTTGTGCCGCTGCTCTTTGCGATGTAACCGAGCCATAGCCCACAGGAGAGCAGGGGAGGAGCTGCAGTTACAGCGTGCAGGTGTGTGCAGGGCTTTGTCAGGTCAAGATAAACTTCTCCTGCAATCAGCTGTACCGGGATGATCAAACCCTGGTTTGGTGGAGGCATCTTCTCGACTACGTGCATTTTACTGCGGGATACAGAGAGATGCCTTTTAAAACCCTGCTATAATGGTATCTGCAGTTAATAAATAATGATGGATCATTATATTCAGGTTATTCAAAAATAAAGCTGGTAGCAAAAGGGAATGCAATCAAAATAGTTCAGTTACATAGCTGGATAGGGTGTACTCAAAAATACAAATGCAAATACAAATGTTAACTCTTTATAAAGAGGGAGAGAGTGGTAATAATGAATATCAAAGTTGACACCCATTTAACTCAAGGAATTTGATTAAAGCAGTTCAGACCCCTTTCTTTATATTCATGCCTCAGATCAGCTCAGTTAAAAAAACCACCAAAACCAGACTGGGAGGACCTGCCCCCACCTGCTGCTCCCCAGGTTTGCAAACCAGCAGCACCAGGACAAAATCGGTTTAAAAACGGGCGTAAGAAATACAGATGCAGCTTCCTCCATACGTACCAGGTCTTAGTAACGAAGCACGATTGCTGCCACAACACGGTGGCTATTAAGTGACCATGTGGGAAAAGGTTGCTAATTGAAAATAGGCGATTAAGAGGCGAGGCAGAGCAGGGAGAGGAGAGAGGAGGAAACCAGGAGCTCCAAGAGGACCGAAACCACCCTGGGGACACGGGGGAAGAGGCTGAGCCCTAATGCGGGCAGACAGGGCAGCGGGGTGTGCTCGTACCGGGGATTTGGGTCACGTCCCCAACCACAGCGTCAGGTCCTGGCAGTTCCTAAAAGTCACCCAGTCCCTGGGACTGCGGTTGCTCACCTGCATTTTGGCAAACCAAAGCCCGAGCTACACCCTGAGGTGAATAATAAAAATAAAACCAAGGTGTGACTGATCTGACATCGCTTAGACACACGTTAAGCTGGTGGATTAGCTCTACTTCACTAGAAATGAAGTTCATCCGCTCTCCAAAGCAACGTCGACAATCCTTAACTTCAAAATCAGAAACGAGTGACTTCATTGCCCCACTGGCTGTCTCCAGACCCAGTAACATGACAATATTCTCTCCCGGTTTCTCCTCCCCGGTGGTGGCAGCGAGGCCGTGTGCGCTCATGCACACAGCTCCCGTTCGGGGCAGGAGGTTTCCCCGCTGACTGAGATGCTCAGGGATGGGCCACAGAAGCCTCCAGACTCCAAAGAGCACGGTCGGACTTAAACACCAGTGTGCAATGAGCTTCTGCTGCCAAACTTCCCCTAAAAGTTTGAATTTAAGGATCTCAGAAAGAACAAATACATCCTTAAGCACGCTTGTAAGTTAGGATGAAAGCGTTAACTTCAGGAATGATTTTGTAGGGTTTTACCAACCTCAGATGCTAGATGAGGTCTCCTTCGTGTGTAATCCAAAATACTAACTCCTGTTCTAACCTGTCCACCAGCCACCAATGGATCGTCCATATGGGACATAAGAGCTATGGCTAATAGTAACTGGGCAAACATCACCTGGAGCCACAATTACTCTGCAGGAACTGACTTTGTGGTTAAGTATATCACCAGTAAGCATCAGATCGCGTGGGGACTCTATAGGGTGGTGATGCCGTTAGAGATCCTGCCAGCTCCCGCGGTCACAACCATTACTTGGGCTTAATTACTGTGTGTGGAACGATGCTCTATGGGGAGGATGGGAGAGGGAAAGGCAAGGGCATGGTCACGGCTGTTTGGGGTGCACCAGAGGTGTCCCTGCTGATTCACAAGTGATTCCCCTCCTCACACCGACTGTCCAAGATGTTCATGAAACACCTTTGTGAACTGTTCGTTTGTGAACTGTTCATTGAGCTGGGCCACAATGTAAAAAAATATATTAAAATATATAAAAAATATACATGCAATGGGACAAAACTTTAAGGGAAAACAAATGAA